ATCTTGGGGTTGCCAGTCGGGAGCAACAAGGACCACCCGATAACGTGTCCTATGGGGGAGGCAGCGCCGTCACTGGACGACGTGGAAGTTCCGCCGCTTCTGGTGTGCGTGGCGGAGAAGGACTTGATGGTGGATACGCAGATGGAGTACTGTGAAGCAATGAAGAAGGCGAAAAAGGAGGCGGAAGTGTTTGTGAGTACTAAAGGAATGGGACATACGTTTTATCTGAACTCACTGGCGGTGGAGACGGACGCCGATACGGCGGAGCAAACTGAGTGCCTTCTCGCTAAGATCAAAGAGTTCATTAATAGCCACTGAAAACAGACAAAAGAAGTTTCATGAATCCTCGTTATCCTTCCAAGTTCCAATGATGGATTATTTTGTACGAGATATGGTGTAACGATAAAATAAGAATAAAAATATGAAAGGGCTGTTTTTTATTTTCTCTTCTTTTATTTTTGCCAACTATTTTCTCTTCCTTTACGACTTCATACATTTCACTCCAAAAATTGGTATTGGAGTTAGACGCAATCGACTTCAGTTTTAGTGTTCATTAGATAATGAACACTGGAATCTTTCAATGGTTTGGATTTATTTTTTTCCTTCATATTTTGTTGGAAAAATTATTTTAAGACGTAAAGACTCTAAACTAAAGATATTATCATAATTATTATTTTTTGCAAAATATAATTTATTTCACTTAAAAATAATTAATTGATGAGAGATTAACTATGAGCACCAACTCGTCCCTATGATAAACACTAAAATTGTCTGGCAAAAAAGACAAACATTAATTAAAAATTTTCTCATTATAAGATTTAAATTTGTGTGATAATTCGTGTGCCAAGTCTTATCACTTAAATGAGGGCATGCTTAAAAAGTTATTAGTGTGATAATTTATGATTTTTTAATACAGTGAATAATAATCAGCTTTTTTTTCCCAATACGGTCAAGCTAAGCAATTGCTCACACAGTAGTGACAATAATAATCAGTGTTAAATATAAAGTCACCGTAAAATAGAGAATAATAATAGGAAATGTTCATTTTAAAAGCGACACTTTGTGCATTTCAGATAAATTTGTTAGCTTAATATAAGATAGCTTGAAATTGACAGCTAAATTTCGAAAAGGCAAGTCGGAACTTTTTTGGGGGGGGGTGTTGGGGGGGAAGTAATGTGCTAATTTTCAATTTCCCATCCACCTTGGACTATTTGGTACCAACTGCGAAGGAAATGGGGAATGATACTCGTAAACATTTTGTGAAATCTTTTTAAAAAAACCTCACATATTGTCAACTCCCCATTATTGAAATTGATTAAAAAAAGAAAGAAATTCAGTGTTAAATTTCGTCTATGTACGTCATTGTATGATTTTTTCCCCCCTTCAAGTCTTGTGAAGACCAGGGTTTTTGGGAGTAAATTTAAAAATTTGGGGTCTTATTTGTATGTAATTGATTTAATTATATGTTCTTTTTTTTTTTTTTGAGTAGCTTAAACCCATTCATTACCCCATTGATAACATGAAATGGTACAGGTTGTGAGATGGTCACCCGCTTTAAAAATTGCAAAGCTAGGCAATTTTAATTAATTTCTACTCAAAAAGAAATTAGTAATTAAAAAAATAGTTTTCATGTCAATAGACTTATAGCATAATAGCATAAAAACTCCGTTATAAACTTGAGATTGTAAGATTGATCTCACTTATAACTTCAATTGTTACTTTCATCTTTAATTTAAAACAAAAGTTACGAAAGCAAATACTAATATATAATGTATGGTTTAGTATATTATTCGAAAATTAGAATATAACTATTGTTCTGATTATTTGAGATCCAAAGCATAGATAAGAGTAGTACAGTTATTATCATTATTGAAGCAATAAGGTGAAGATGATCAAATTAAATGAGGAGGTCCCTCACAGCAAACACAGAAACCACCCTTACACCTGCTGACAGAGCCGGGCACGTCACATGTCTTGGGACAGGACTTGATGCACTCTTCATTCTTCCCACATGACTGCCCCTGTGCTCTTATTTTTGGCACCATTCCTACATATCCGTACACACAATATGTGAATAGAAATAGATGAGTCCTACTTTTTTTTTTTTAGTAAAACTAATTATTAAATTTTTATTTTTTATAAGTAAGTTTTTTGGATACAAGAATCAATAATCTATATATTTATTATTATATAGATTAAAGTGTAAATTTGCTTTAGAAGTTTTCGCTAGGCACTGAGAGTTCTTTTTCTCCGCAAATTTGCTCGAGAATTTGAAAATCGTAACAATATTGTTCCATACTATTAAAAAAATATCATTGACTATTAAAATAGTGATATTGACGGATAACATTTTTAATAGTAGAGGCATTATTGCTATGATTCTAAACTTTTAAGGTAAAGTTGCATCCAAAAAAAAAAAATCTGGGTGCCCAGTGCTCTTGAATGAAAACTTCCAAAACAAATTTACGCCTTAACTGTATATATATAATACAAAAATCCTTTACCAATTAGATTGTTCATGATTCATAAATAGTGCGACTCATTTATTAATATTATGATTCAATTTTTTTTTTCATTTTTCATCCATTGGAAAGAACTCGCACAATCATCATACTCTATGATCTCACATTTGAAAAAAAGACTTGAAAGAAGTACTTAGTGTCATCGTGTCAAAAAGACCCGACAATTCAAAAGTATACTTAAAAGATTTATTTTCAGCCTTAACTTGTATATAACTTTGCGCAATGTTTATTGCACACATATTGGCGCTTTCGTTTTGTTATTGTAAGAAATATTATGAATTCCCCTAATCTTTGAGATCAATCCCCCACAATATATATATATTAAACCTAAAATTTTTTACAAATTTACACTGCTAATAATTCATGAACTACTAAAATTTTTCAAGGGGGGGCGGGAGAGATTTACCTGATGCAATGATAAACAAAACCATTAAGCAAACCAACTTGTGTGAAACTTTTGCCATGTCTTTGATCTTTTTTCTTTGGCTATCAGCACCAGAAAATATTGTTTTTGTTATATAGGAAGGAGAATGGCTTCGAATATATATGCGAAACCAAAATGAATTACATGGAAATAATATATTTCATACAATGAATATTTAATTATTCATGCAAGAAATAAATATTATGGTTATGGTTTTACAAATTTTGAATATATAATTCTTTAAATGATTGATTTCCAAAATAAATTAAATGGATTCATATTTTGATGAATAGTATCTGGTAAATTTAATTAAATACCTAGTTAGTAATGGCAATGGATACTAATGTCTAACAACTTTTAGGATATGTTTGGTTGTCGCATGTGTGTCCTCAAAATTGGAGTCGGTAATTTGGGTTAACAAGTGCTGAAAATTTTCGGACTAAGCTTAGAAAAGCTAAACTTATAATCATGCCTTTTTCTTTCTTTTTCTTTTTTGTTGCTACAAATAACCATGCCTTTTCAGTTAGCCGGTTAAAAAAAGCTAAAGCCCATTTAGGTTTGGATTAGCCCATTTAGGTAGACATGATAACTAACTGTTAAACTTAATATGAATTAAAAATAATTATTATATATATATAAATAAAAGGAGAATCAATTTTCATTGTTTTGTTTTATATGTCTACTAATTTCAATATTGTTGTAAAAAAAATTTCTTATTTATCCATTTTTATGTCTTTGCTTGATACAAAATTTTTCCTTCCTTTTTTCCCCCCTCCATAATGTTCATGGAGAAGAAAACTACTGTAATCAGGAGCGATGGAAAAGAATTGCATTATGGTACGAATTTCATTAGTTAATAAACTGTATTATATATATTTATCTCATTTTTTAAATATACCTGAGGTGTGTATTGGTGACTTATATTTAAGAAAGTGTGCATATGCGCATATATGTCTTGCGCGCGTATATATAATTTCTTTCAGATTTGAAAACCTCATTCCTCTATAGGGATAGTTTTGCATTTTCAGCCTTTGAAAAATTTTAATTGGAGAAAATACCTTTTCCTTTTGCCATCAGGAGAAGGAAAAAAAACTGGTTAATATAATGCAACACATCACAAAAGTAATTAACTGTTGAATTTAAAGTGGCATTTGTGCATCTTTTCAATATTTTGTAAATTTTTAATATGAAGTTTTCAAACTGATACAAGACAACTTGAAATTGACAGCTGAATTTGAAGCACACTTGTGACTTGATTTTTGTTTTTGTTTTTTGTTTTTAAAATAATGAACAAATCTTGAACTGGTTATTAATTCATCGAAGTATAATTGTGACAGTTTTTTATTTTATTTTATCGAGTGACATTGTGATATTATTTAGCATATTTTTATCAACTATTATATGCACGGAACATAACAAAATTACGCGCCCTGAAAATTTAAATAGGGAAATTAAATTTTGAATTGCTTTTACATATATCCCCCTGTATGATTTTTTGAAGACTTTTAAATAGTGATCGTTTTTCAAGATTTTGAGAGTAATTTTACAAATTTGGGGTCCTATTTATATATGATTGATTTAATTATATGATCTTTTTTTCGTAGGGTTGCTTAAATCCCATGCATTACCTTATTGATAACATGAAATGGTATAGATTGTGAGATACTCATCCACTTTAAAAAATTACAAGCGGCTTTAACTTAATTTATACTTCAAAATAATTTAGTAATTAAAAAATAGCTTTTATATCAATGGCCTTGAAGTCTAATGATATAAAAACTCCACAATAAGCTGGAGGTTGTAAAAATACTAATACAAAATGTCAGTTTGACTACAAGATTTTACTTCTGTTATTAAAGAAACATAAGTAATAAGAATCTATGGCTTTTTTGCATTAAGAACAGAAGCCGTAAACAAGATTATCATTTATCACCACTGATATATGTGTGCGTATAACAAGCGTCATACATAAATACATCAACTATATCTACGCATGTAAATTAACTCTTAAAAATTTTAAATATTCAAACATGAGATAAAAATAACTTGCATAATTTGTTCCCAATAAGATATAAATATTCTTATTCATATTTATTTCAGATCCAGAACACAAAAGTAGTACAAATATGGATCAAGCAAGAGAGCATTAATTATTTAAATTAATTAAAGTGATGTGGAGAAGAAGAAGAAGAAGCAGGAGGTCTCTGACAACAAACACAACACTTTCTGAAACCACATGATACGTTGCAGTGTCCAGGGTTCCCATCTTCTCCAACCTGTCCTCTTATATTTTGGTACAAATCCTACAGACCTACACACGCACATACAATAAAAAGCGTGTTAATATATAAATAGTTTTCAATTTCTGGCCTTAGTTTAGTTTTGATTAATTTTATCGGTGAGAAGGACCCATAAATTTTTACACACAAAAAGTATCAGTATACAGTATTGATACTATAATAATTAGGTCCTTCTCATCAATAAAATTTTTTTATAGGAGATTTTTCCTAATTTCTCTTTTAAAATTAATCATATTATTGTTGAGCTATGTATATTTTTAAGGCCCCATGCAATGCTTTAAGCAATCACTTGGGGCATTCCAATTCTTAATTATTAATTAACCTTTTATGTATAGAGCAAATATGGTCGGAAAGAATTCATGATATTTTCGGTCTGTTCTAAATCAAGCACATACAGGGCAGAATGAGACATACAACATGAATATAGATGGTGTATGTGTGTGCATATTGACATGCCATGAAGGAAATTATTTGTATGTAACTTAAGCTCAACATCTGTTATGAATAAGTATAGAGGAAGTACCTTTTAGATAGTCTTGTCCCCGCATGTGTACATCAGGGATGTGAGCAATTTTAGGCCAATCTGGTCCTTTACCCTTTTCACACCTCTCCTCAAGCAACAGACATCCCAAATCAATTACTAAACGAGAGAGGGATGGAGGTAAAGCATCTTCTTCTGGCATGTCTTCAAAACTCATGTGAGGGCAACATGTAAATGATAAGGAAGTGAGAGAATGGAGGTGCACAAGACCCCTATGGTTTATTCTTCTCAACTTGCCACAATAATTGAATGACAGAGATTGGAGATTGGGCGGCAACAATCTCTCTTCTTCAGGGAACCACTCCATGACGTCATCAGCAATTTCAAGTTGTTTCAAAGACAACAACTCATGCAAACCCCAATCCCTACCACACCCAATGAGCTTGGAACACTTTATGATTGAAAGACGCTGTAGGTTGGAAAGCATACCACCATGGGGAAGAGATTCCATTGCCGGACAACGCCATAAAAATAGGTAATGGAGGGGCGGAAGCACATCTGAGATGCTCCATGTGGGCATGTCTTTCACTGATATCTTCCTACAATTACTTAAAGATAGCCTTTCTATGGAAGAGGACTTGGGAAGTGTGGCCTCCAAATTCTCACAGTCCTGAATGTCGAGTTTTTTTAAACAAGGAAGGTGTTGAGGCAGAGACTTTATCAGTCTAGGACAATGGCTTATAGAAAGTTTTTCAAGGCATGGGAAACTTTGACGTTCACAACATATATCCCATTCTTCCCATTCTCTCATAGAAGAAAAGATTAAACGTAAGAGGGAACGAAATGGTCGAGCAACTAAGGAGCCATTCCCATAGAACTCTTCACCTATCACCTTTATTCTATCCAATCCACTAATCGTGAGTTCTTGAAGAGAAGGTAGTTGCCCAAGTGGTGGTAACTTCACACAGTTGTGGCAACTCAACAGAGCTAAAGACACTAAATTAGGTAAAAAATGTTCAACGCCAAGCCACTTTGGAAATTTGGTACCTCTGTATCCGCTAATGGTGAGCTCTTTCACACTCTGATTTGGCTCAAGTGCTTCCAATACGTGCTCCTCGTGATGTCCCTCTTCACGACTGTAATCATCCTCACAATAATACTGCAATGTTAGTTTATCCAATTTCTTTCCTTTCAAATTGGCCTCTCTCAAATCTGTAGGATCAACTATGCCTCTCATATTTGAGATAGTTAGTGAGCCTGTTAAGTTCTTTAAGGCACCTAATTCTTTTATATTTGATCCTCCTTTCTTTGCCATAACAAAGTGATTCATTCTTTGGAGCTGCTTTAACTTTCCCATATATCTCGGCATCTTCTGTATGCCACAGCCTTCTAAGTCAAGATGACGCAAGTTGATGAGTTTGTAAAAATTTGATGGCAACTCAGTCAAGCGACCACAATCTCTTAATTTCAATGTTTGTAAATTAATCAACAAGCACATTGAATTCGGCAATTTCTCAACTGAAGTGAAGGAAAGATCCACATAACGCAGGTGCTTTAAATTGCTAATGCCATCTGTCAAGCTTCTCAAATTTTGAGATCCCTCCAAAGATAATTGTCGTATGTATTTGAGACGACAAAGCCTGGACATTATATCATCACCAATGCTAAGATTGCCAAATAGGATGAAACTACGTAATTGGTGGCATTTTAAAACTCTCTCAAAAATGTCAACATTATCACTTTTGCATCTTACATATGAAAAGTAGCGAGTCTTGGTTGACATATCTTGTGCCTGAGCAGTATCGAGCAACACAAAAAATTCTCCTGCCACAGATTTTGCTAAATCATTCAGAAGATCATGCATGATGAAATAATCGCCACCTGTTTTCGATGGCTCAAAAAAAGACCTAGACTCTAGATCTTTGAAAATTTCATCACCCATTTCTTCAAGGTTCGTACTTGTTTGAGTTGGATATATTAAACCATCTGCCATCCACAATTGGATTAGGACATTCCTATCGATGTCATAATCTTTGGGAAAGATTGAGCAATATGCAAAACAACGCTTCAAATTTGAGGGTAAATAATGGTAACTCAATCTTAAGGATGGAATAATATTGTTATGATCTTCTGGCAATGCCCAAAGCTCACTTTTCAAAATCTTATTCCAGCGTTCAAAAGAGAGTTTTATACGCAACAAACTTCCTAGTGTTTTTACTGCTAAAGGCAATCCTCCACATTTCTTTATGATATCTTTACCAATCCGTACAAGATCTAGATCAACAACATCGGGTTGGTTGTTAAATGCATGTTTCACAAATAAATTCCAACAATCTCCATCTTGTAATGGCTTCAAAGGATATGTAAAAGCACAAAACATAACTTCTGCTACCGTTTTATCACGGGTTGTGATAAGAATCTTGCTCTGTGGTGCTACTTGTCTCAAAGGAGCTGTGAAAACCTCCCAACTTTGACAATTCCAGACATCATCAAGAACGAGAAAGAATTTCTTGCCCATCAATGTCTCTTCTAGTTTAGACTGATTGACGTGAAAATCTTGTTCAGGTGGACACTTAAGTGACTGGAGAATTGCTTTTGTCAGGTGATCAACATCAAATTCTTCAGAAACACACACCCAAGCTGTATGTTGAAAATGATCCTTCATCCTTGGATCTTCATAAACAAGTAGCGCAAGGGTTGTCTTACCCATCCCGCCCATACCAGTGACGGCAATCACATCCAGAGGCAATTGATTCCTACCTCCCATGTTCTGTGACAGTAAAAGCTCTACAATCCTCTCTTTATCAGCATCTCTACCATATATATTGGATTCATCTATCAAATGTGTTGAAGGCAATCTTCTGTATACTCTCCTGTTCACCACTCCCGATTGGTCTCCAGCAGATGGCCCTTCTCTTAACCCCAGTCTCTCCTTTTGCTTCATAAGATTCTCTAGGTTGTTAAGCACTTCTTTTATCTCTGACTCTATCTTTTTGTCAAAATGATTTTGACTAGCAAGAGTAGTAAAGAAGCCTCGTACCTTGCGGATAACAGTAGTACTTTGCGATTCAGCATCCATCTTCTGTTGTGTAGCAATGTCGTCCAGTAACTCTTGAGCCTTAAAGACTTCATCTTTGAGCTCGTCAAGCCACTTCTTCACATGATGGTCTCTGTATTGCCTTTCCTCTGCATCCTCAACAATTTTGTCCACAGAATTAAGGGTGATTTCCAATTCTTTGAGCAAGTTACCATTGAGCTTTCTGCCACGAAAGTATTCAACAAAGTCAGGAGAAGCCAATCTCTCAAATGCCACCTGAAGGAAAGAAGAGAGAAACGCTCCAGCCACCAACTCCGCCATGTTAAATCTAATAGAAAGTATTTAGCAGCAAGAAAGGAAGAAAGCTGGACAAAGAGGAACGAGAAAGCAAGAATTGTTAATGCTTCACTAGTGCGCGGGGCATAGAGAGGCGACAGTCTTTCTTTGATTGTTGAGAACTTTGGATGGTTCTAAGAAACAACTCTAAAATTATAAAATACAAGATAAGGCTTGAATTTGAGTGATGCATATGAACTTGCTTGTCCAGAGAGACTTTTGAAAATTCAACTTTGCCATCTGCCGGTCTTCCAACAGCCATTCTTATTTCTGTCCTTTACCTACCTCTAATAATTCTCCTTTTCTTGTTTGTCCTTTGAAAACCGATTCGAGCCACAAGCGAGGATAGAGAATTTTGATTCTTATTTTATCCCAAGCGATTGCAATAATTAATGGGGGAAAATCCTTTAGCAACTTCATTTATTACTGTAACACTAAATATTATGTCAACATAAATTTTAAATAATTGTAACACTTTTCTTCTGGGAAAAAAATCATATGTTTTCCCATAAGCTCTGCCATGTTGAAGCTAACAGAAAGTATTCAGATCCTCTCCTCTATGCTCCTTTTCTCTTTATCACTGTTTGGATCAAAATTCCAACAGTTCATATTTAGTACTTTATAAAAATAAATATTATTATAATTTTATTTAAGAAATACATAAAAAAATTTAAACTATTAAAATCCGATCCGAGTAGTTCACAATTGTGGTGAAAAAATAAGAAAACAAATCTATTTTATGATAACATATAATTACGAATTGTTTAGATCAAATTTTAATAGTTCAAATTTATTTATCTATTTTTGTCTATAATTATAATGATATTTATTTTTACAGAATGTTAAATGTGGGTCATTGACATTTTGATCCAACGACGGTGAAAGGAAAAAGAGATAGAGGAGGGGCAGAAGTGAGAAAAGATAGAGGAGGGGAATCTTGGTTATTGGGAACTTTGGATGCTTTTAGGAAATTATCCTGGAATTATAAAATACTACCTCCGCTTCTTGATATGCATATTATTCTTGCTATAAGATCTAATTTACTAATTTAATAAGATTAAAAAAATTAGTTAAATTATTTATATATAGTAAAGAGATATTTTCTTTTCTATTATTAATTATATATGTTTGAATTATTAATTGATAGTAACTTCTTAATATACATAACTGTAATAAGAATTATTTGAAGGTAAAATTGATAAATATAAAAGATAAAATGAATTAAGATTTTATATTTGTGATCAAATTAAAAATTAAATTAAACTATTTTTTATATTAAGAAGTAAAGTTTGTATAAGATAATACTTGAATTCGAGTGATGCATATGAATTTGCTTTTCCAGTGAGAGACTTTCCCATCTGCCAGTGTTATTCCAACTACTATTCTTGCTTTTGGACTCTATCGATCTCTAATAATTCTGCTTTTCTCATTTGTACGTTAAGAAACGATAGGAATTGCGCGGGCGATGGTACAGAATTTTGATTCTTGTAATGTCATTTCATATCCCAAGCGACTTCAGCGATTAATGGGGAAACAAAGCATTTAGCAACTTCGCTGCAATTTGTAAAAATATCCACGTTGATAATAAAAAATAATAATATCCACGTCGGACTCACTGAGCGATTGGACCACTTACACAGTCCTTACCACATTTGAATAATTTTTCGATTTTTTATGATCCCTTTGCATTCGTTCAAGCTTTTAATGCTTATTAAAAAAATCCTTCGGAAATAGAAGTAAGCAGTTTCTTTTTGTTTCTGAGTAAATAAATAAATAGTTTCTGAATTTGGTCATTGTGAATAATTTTTCAATTTTTTATGATCCCTTTGAATTTTTAAATTGTCCCCTTAAAAATTAAAAAGATTTCAGTTTCATTAAGGACTCTTCGAATTATAATTTTTCCACTGACTTGTGTTTAAAAAAGTCTGCACGCGCACGCACGTGGCTGTGATCCTATGCGCATGTGATGATTCTTTTAGATTGGTAAGCTTTTTCATGTTTAAGGTCTTGTATTTACGCGTTATTAATCTTGACGATAAAAAATACTTTTTAGAACAATTTAATATCCAATCTCACTGCCCAATCCAAGTTTTAAGTATAGTTGAGGCTTAAAAAATGAGGGTTTTGAGCTCATGAAACTCCAAAATATATATGCTCATTTAGAATAGTTTATAGGGCTAAGGTGCGCTCAACACCCTGAACTATTTACCAAGGTGTGTCTAGTGGCTTAAAGTAATTTTGGGTGCATCCAGTATCCTAAACTAATTAAAATGGTGCGTCCATATCCCAGGCTAACAGAAATGTTATGTTTAACTGTTACTTTCCTGACTCAGCTTAAAGCTGACCCCAAATATTCTAAATGGTAGATATATAGATATTTGATATGTATTATTCTTACTCAAAATTGAATTTATTTCCTTCCTCTTCTTCTAAATAAATTGACTTTTGAGTAAGAATAATACACATCGGGTGCCCATGTGTCTACCATGTAGAATATCTGGGGTCAACTTTAAGCTGAGTTAGGAAAGTAACAGTTAAACATAACATTTCTGTTAGCCTGGGATATGGACGCACTATTTTAATTAGTTTAGGATACTGGATGCACCCAAAATTACTTTAGGCCATTGGACGCACCTGGGTAAATAGTTCGGGGTGCTAGGCGCACCTTAACCCTAGTTTATAAGTAGCTTTTTTAACCGTGATTTACAGAATACAAATAAATATGTGAAATTAGTTTTGTTTTTACTTATGTAAAAATATGTTTCCAAGTGACTTCTATTATGATTGCAAACAAGGTCATAATTGAGGGATGCTTTCCGGCAAATAATTTTTTTCCCCAAAAAATTCAAACTTAATATGGGTTTTATTGAGTTTCTCCCACTTGATCCAACTATCATTGATTTGGAATACTTCTGTTTGTGGTTGTTTGTGTATCTATCTATCTATATATAAAAAGATACGCCAAGCTTCCTTTATTGGGCAAAGATAGAACGAGAAATTGAGAAGGCGTCAAACTTCACCGGTGGGGTGAGGCAAAGGTGGAGGAAAGTGCTCCTTTGGTTGTTTGGGTGTTTCCGAGAAAATTACTGCGGAATTGAAGTGCGACGTCAGGCCCGTTTGAAATTATGCTAAAAAACACTTATAAATATTATTTTTACGTAAGTTAAAATAAAAATTTTATATTTTTATTTTGTATTTCGTAATTTATGATTAAAAAATTAATTATAAAAGTGTTTGGATATTATAAAAAATATTTTTTAAAAGTACTTTTTCACAAATCAAAATAAACTTCTCCACATATTTACTTCGTATACTGTAAAATAATCATTTTTAAAATCCTGATTTTAATTCCCTTTAAACACCCTTTAGCGAATTCAAATTGGTTTGCTCTCCTTTTTTTTCACTTTCGGTGCGGGAACACTCTTGGAAAAGCAATTTTTATTCTTTTTTTCATATTTTATTCCAGAATTTATGCTCATGCACCCTTTGTCTTATATAATGTTATTTTAATACTAAAAATATAATAAATAACTTATTTTATTGCACAATTTATTATTTTGTACATATTAAAAATATAAACTATATTATCATCGAAATATAAAAGCACAGCCAACAAATTATTTTGTTTGGAATTTACTATTATACATAAATTAAAATTCAAAAATAAAAAAACTCATTGAATTGCACATTTACTTCTTTTTAAATACAATTTGCGTAAATTACAGCCAATATTAGGATTATTATAACAGGTGGGGCTCTTTATTTTAGAAATTACTCCCAACATCCCAATTTATAAGAAACATTTGACTAAATTACATAAATTAAATAGATAGTTTAAATTAGTTAAAAATAATAAACATGTAAAAATTGCAATTTTTTTCAATAATTTTTTTATTTATGAAGGAGAGAGTACAAGGTAGAGAATAAAAAAATTACTAAAATGAAAAGAATGATACTTCAAAAAATGAGATGATAAATAATTGTGTATTAAAATAAATAATTAATGGGACAAAATAAAAAAAATAAAAAAATTTAAGACATCTTGTGAATGTTTTTTAATAAATGAGGACTAGATATAGAATGTAATTGCTTCTGGACGGAGGGAGTGGTAAAGTGGTAACTAGGGATAGGAAATGCAAATCATGCCTATTAACGTGGTGCCTGGGTGATATTAAGAATATGTCCCCCACAAGATGAAAATTAAAAAGCACAATAGTTGGGTGCCCCTATTTAATATTTATAAAGATAATTTATGCAATAATTAATATTTTTTTAAGAAAATGATGCTTTTAATCGATTATGAGAAAGAATAATACATAATAAGTAAGGGATTTTTTTTTTTTGGAAAAATAATGAATCATTCTAAACACAAAAATTAATTTTCTTGGTTTGTTTAAAGCTGATCAAGTTGTCTGATAAATAGAAACCAATAGGGTAGATACTCACCTAGAGATTTTATAATCACAAATATTGTAAAATTGTCTGATGTGGAAGTTGTTGTGAGTAGTAAAGGAATGGGATATTCGTTTTATCTGAACTCATTGGGGGTGGAGACGGACGCCGATACGGCGGAGCAAAGGGAGGGCCTGGCCGCTAAGACAGAGGGTTCATTGATGGCCACTGAAAAATGAACAAAAGTTTCATGAATAGTCGTTATCCTTCTAATCATGGATTCATGATTCATGGGTGGTGGGGGTGTGTTATATTTACATTTACATTTTTATTTCATATGAGATATGGTGCAACGATGAAATAAGAATAAAAATATGTAAGGACTGTTTTTTATTTTCCCTTCTTTTACCTTTTTGGCAGCTATTTTCTCTTCTTTTACGACTTTATCCATTTCACACCAAAAATTTATATTGGAGTTAGACGTAATGAATTTAGTTTTACTGCTCATCATCATCGATCATCGTTAGTGTTTTTTTAAAGAAAATTTATCTTTTGGTTCTTGAAGTTTTAGCCCAATTATGATTTAGTATCTC